TCATTTGCATGCCAGGAAAAGAATGTCTGGAATAATCCAAAATGGCAAGGCTGAATTCTTTCACTGAAAACAAGAAAGTGACAGCACAAAAAGGGAAATAAAATAAGAAAAAGGTGTCCGAGGTAGATTTACTGGTCAACAAGACCCCAAAGAGGAGCCTGGCGTGTGTGCAGGTGCCACTTGTGCACTGTGAGTGCACACGCTTACAGGCACACAGCCCTCCATGCGGCCCCATCCTGGCTGCTCCGAGGCTTTCTCTGGGCTGCCCAAATACAAAACCTGAAATCGATGAAACAGATATATCAAGGGTGATTATCCACCGTTCTCAAAGATCCGCCAAGACATCTCTTGACATCTTTCTTCTGGTTCATCTGAATATGGTCTCACTGACAAGTGGCCTCGCACACAGCACAGGGCTCCGGTGAGCCGAACACGGGAGGGGCTGCATGGAGCGGCTCCTCACACACACGTGTGTGTAGGCTGCAGGCATGCAGGCCGGAGGGAGCGCCTCCCCTACACTCGGACTGTGTCCCGGGGGAATACTGGTTGCATCCGTGTCTGGAGCTGAGAGTGCGTTTCTACAAGGGAACTCGCTGTAAACTAAGGTGAAATCCCAGGCTGGTCCCATGGTTTACTGAAGTCGTGAGCACATCTAGATTTTGCTGCTGATACAAGCTTAAATGCTAAAGAGCACAGTGTGTAGGAAGAGAGAGAAAAAAAGACAATAAAAACATGTTCTCTCCTTGAGGGTCATTCTTAGTCCATAAAAAAGGTTTGGAGATGGCAGCTGACCTGTCATCCTCTCAACCTTTCTATGTCTAGGTTCCTCTTTCCTTAGTAACCTTGTTCTCTCATCTTGTTCCAATTGTCCAACTGTGGCAGGCCATCCAAACGAACCCTACAAACCCTACCTCCCAGGCAGAGTCTCCCATGCACCAAATCTCCTTTTTTCTCTCCATCAAAATCTTCATTTCTTCTTGGACATTCAGCCTGATTAAGTCACATAACATAGAAAAGACTCATCGCCTAGATGTTGTGGCTACACCAGATGTGTCTAATTAAGAGGGATTTTAGAGAGTTTAACAAAATGAAGTTTCAACATTCAGCCTCTTGGGAGCAGGATAAATTTATGAATTACACACTGACAGAGCAGTGGGGCTCAGACAGCAACCATCTGAAGGTCCTGGGCATTTATAAATTGTTCATGTGTGAGCTGTGAAAAGAAAAAATGTGATAGGAACTTGCTCTCAAGCTGAGCATAGGGGAAGTTCATGCATTTTAGGTCAAGACTTGCCTGGTGTCCCCTTGTCGAGTATACTTAGCAACCTCTCTTCCCTCCTTGAAGGGAGACAGAAATTCAATAGGCTTGGTTTTGAGGGTGAAGTCAAACTAATTCGAGTTAGTTAAGATTCCAGTGAGGACGCACTCTGTAAGGTGGCAAAATGGTCCCATCTGGAGAATATGAGCCCTGATTCGAGAGCATGGAGACGTCCTTATCAGACAGTGCAGGGAGCAGACACCCCCTAGGGGCTAGAGGCCTGGATTTCAGTTCGTGATGGGAATTCACTCCATCAAACATCTGCAAATTACCATTTGTTAATCTGATATGATGAAATTGGATTATAATTTTAATTTAGATGACTTAATTCAACAGATCACACTGACTGACTAAATTTCCTTTGAGTATTACTTAATAGTTCTGATCAGTTGTAATGGCATGACTACTGCTGTTAGAGCTGTTTCAATCAGTATTTATTGAGAGACTACTATGCCCTGGCATGATGCCAAAGACTGCAGATATTGCAGAGAAATAATGCCTATATAAAAATCAGTGAAAACATCTTGTATTTGCTTTGATGGTTTCTAGGAATAGCTTCAATTAGGATTACTATAATACTTCATAATCTAAAAGGCTTCTCCCTCTTAGAATTTAGTACGAATAAGAGAAATAAAATTCAGTGATACATTATCCTTCCACATACCAACTTTCATTTGGCTTTTTGAGTCCATATATTTAATAAAATGCATCATGAGACAGCCACTCTTGAACAAAAATGGATGATGGATAAATGGATAAAATGCCTTAGCAGAGATAAACCAATATATTGTATTTAAAGGTATCATGGAGAAAAATTTGAAAGTTAAAAAAGTCTTTTCACTACTGTAGCCCCGGGGGAGGGAGTGTTAATAGCAGACTTAGAAAATGTCTATTTAGGTGAGGAAAGAAAGATACAACCAGATGGAATGGAAGGAATTTAGAATAAGCCTGTATGCCAGAGAAAACCATAGCAGTTGCTCTGAAAGTATTTCTTGAAATCCCCTGTTCTACTATTAACACACGCATGGTAACCCGCTACGGCTGCAGCAACACTGTCCTGCGTTCCCACAGATACAGCCATGTACTGTCTGATCTGAGACCTCGCAGATCAGCCTTAGGCCACCTGTCTTTCTTAATTCTCCATCCATAAAAGCAACAAAATGTAGTCTGCTCTTTTTACATTTACACACGTGCATGAAAAACCAGAAGTTTACACACCTAGGTTGGTTTCTCACTGCTTGGATAACTAAAGAAAAAAATAATATATATATATATACTTTTATTTAAAAATATAACTTGGCAAATGAATAGTCTTTAAAGTGGACCAAGTGCATTTGGAATGCTTTAATAAAAATAAACAGCCAAGATATTTAACTATGAAAAAAATCAACTATACAGGCACGCTTTTCCTTCTGAGCTGTTATTTCGTCACCTTTGAAAAAAGCATGCATTTTCAGAAGACTCACCATACCGGATAAATTTCATAGGCATAAGATGCTGCTTTTATTAGGCAATATGAAAAAATTTATAAGAAAAAATTCTTTTTAACAGATTACCAATTACCAATCACTCTGTCTCATTAAAGTTAATTTCATTTTTCCAAAAATCGTTTGTTTTCGTCTATGCACATTTGTACTGTCATAATTGTATTTGATGTTTCTACAATTTTGAATTGCTTTTCATTCAATATTAACATGATAAATATTTCTCATGTTTCAAAGTCATTATCAATATTATAGAAAAACTTTGACTTTTATGTTCTCTTAATTAGATTTGGGATTAGGATAACATTTACATTTTTAAAAACTGAGATACTTCCCATATTTTTCTATGTTCCAGAAAAATGTATAAAACATGGGAATGAATGATTTATTCAAAATTTGAAAAAAATGGATCTATCAAATCATGTGTTTACTAAAAATCTTAATTTTTCCTGAGTTATTAGTCATTAAAAACTTTTATTTATAAATTTATAATTTAATGAATGTGGATAATATCATTTCACAAACACATTTACACCCAGTATATTATCAAACATATGTAGTACTTTATCATAATTTTTAAAATCTTATTTGTTTAATAACTGCATTGATTGCTACATCTCCTTTGTGATTTTCAACTTTAATTTGTTTAATTTTTTGCCTATTTTATTATTGCTTTCAAAGAGTCAACTCTTATTTATCTTTTTCCAGCTTTCCATTTTACCTTTTTTTTGTTTTATTCTTATGTTTTTCAATTATCTATATTTGAATGACTTGATTTCTTTTCCTTTCTGTGAAAATCAACACTCATAAAGCTCTGAAATACTTTCAAGTTCTGCTCTGGTCACATTAGTTAGATGTTAATATGTAGTTTCTTCATTTTAATTATTGGCTAAATAGCCTTTTACTTGCACTTCTTCCTAGACCCAATTATTCCTTACAAGACTATTTCTGAGTATCTGGAATTTGTTTTTATTGTTGCAGTTGGAGATGCAAACAGAAAATAAAGTTGATTTAAGTCTTTAAAAATGTATTGATAATTGTCTCAAATCCTCTTGGATCATATATCTTGTGCACATTTGCAGGCACTTGAAAAATCAGATTTCTGGCTAAATGATCTGAATGGTATATTACACAAAACAAATTTAGATTCCTGTATAAAGCCCTACACATATCAAAATCCTCAATACTATAAATACTGGATGCAGTAACATTTATACAGTATTTATCATAGGGCCCAGGGTACTCCATAGATGACTGTTGGTCGTAGGTACAACAATAGTAATAGTTGGTTAGTAGTAGTGATGCTCTTGCTACCTCTTGTGCAGCCTGAGCTCTACTACTGGTCTGGAGAAGAAAAACTACTATGTGCTCTTGGCCTGAGATTTCTTGTCTGTGACACAATGTGGCCGGACTAGATGCTTTCTGAGGTTATTTCCAGCCCTAACATTCTAAATCTCATCTGTTGGCCTTTTCAGGATCAGGCTCTACTTATACCAGATTAGGTCACAGATACCCCTTGTTCCAAAGCGACCTGCTCCAACACTCCTTAAGAACAAATCTCTCTGGGAACTGAAGTCCATATGGAAAATTCTACCAAACCTACCATTACATCTGAAAGACTTGGACAGGTAGAAATCGATTCACTATTTCTGGAATGGAAGTAAAATTGTCAAAGCTGTTCATCAGCCCTACCTGTGCTTTCCTGGAATGATAGCAAAATTTCCAAAGCAATTGAAACCAGACCTATGCTTTTCCTTCTCGAAAGCTTGGCACCCATGTTCATTTGTGTTCCTTTCCCATAACTTAGCAATCGAAGCATTTAAGAGAAAAGATGGAGTACAAAGTATTTGTACAACAGGCTGTAACCTAGCATATTCCTCCATTATAAATTATTCATAAAGGCCAATATATATACCTCCTTTATTATCATCATCGAGATTAAAATTATTGTTAGGAATGAAAATTCTTATTCTTAATATTAAAATTGAAAATTTCTCAGTAATCTGTAAGACCATCATCTACCAACAAATTTATCAGCTGGCAATTAAAAACAAAACAAAAGCTGTTAAAACTGAATTATAGGCAGCACATAAATAGTCTGATGCCTTTAGACCCGTCAAAATAAACTCCTCTGCTGCAGTTTTAATTCTGCTTTACACAAGGTATCACGGTCACTACTGCAAAAAGCACAGGCTTACCTGTGCGGTAGACGAAGTTGCCTTCGGTTTCTGACGACGACGGAGACACCAGTTCTTCCTCAAACTCATTGGAGCTAAAAGATCCCGAATGGTTTCTTTGCCTGGTTTTCCCCATCATGGCAGTGTTTGTGGCCATAACATGTCGCAAAGAGTCGTTAAGGTAACGGTTCAACAAGCTGCTCTTGTACTTGGGGGGTGACACGTAGTCCTCGCTGGCCTGTGACTCTGGCCTCACTCCAGCTTTTATGACGGAGCTCTCACTTTTAATCACAGGATGGTGAACTGGAGTATTATAGCTTCCTTCATTCATGTGGTTTCTTGGAGGGTTTTCTCCATCTAAGAGGGAAAAACAGCACTGAGTAGTATTTATGCATACTTTCTCCCAACCGCCCAACTGTTATATTTAATAATAAAAATATACGTAAAGGAAGAATATTTAGAGTGTATAAAATTATACATTAGGCAATTATATATTCAAGATTAATTTTTAGGCAAAAGAAAGCAGGGATTTATGTAATCTCTTGCTTATGGTATTTTAATTTTAATGAATTTCACTGAAAATATTATTTTGACACATGACAAATCTATGAATGAGAGGAAACAGCCCTAATTCTGTCGGTCATTTATAGTATTGTAAACATAAAGTTACCTCATGGAATAAAAAAGAACCGTTATGGCACCATCATATTTTGTGGGACCAACCTTAAGATAGCAATTGAGGTAAACTTATTGCAGAGGAAAAGAAAACAAAATAAAAATATTAACAAACCTTCGGAACACGAATCATCACTGCTTACGCTGAGCCGCTCAGCATTTCCTTGAACATACTTGTTGTATAACTTTATTCTTAAAGCCCAGCTTAAATCTGGCTGTCGAACAGTATTCTTAAGCCGACGTCTTGCATTAGCAAACCAATTTGACACCTAAAACAGTATTATTTTTCAATTAGCAAAACATTAAAAAACATTAGCCGTTGTGCAATTACTTTCTCACAAAGGATCTCAGCCTTTCTCAGCTCTGATCACTAAATATTCTCAGGATGTATGAGTATGGCACATTCATTTATTCGACAAACGTGCTCAGCCCTTACCACAGAGATTGGGTAATTATTGTGTTCTGGGAATAAGAAAAATGAAGCGGCTTTGCCATCAAGAAACAATTCAGTAAGAGAAAAGTCTAGTAAGACAGGTAGAAAAGTATATATTAAGAAATAACTAATATAAGACACATGGCATACAAGACACTAAAATAAAGTAATACAAGAGTCCAAAGGAAAGAGGTGTTACTTCGTATGTGACTCAAGACTTCATGAATTCATGAGAATTCAAGCTCGGCTAGGCTTCGAAGGAAGGCCAGACTATGTCAGGTAGAGTGGGAAGGGCAGTGTATTCCCAGTAAGAAGGACATGGGAACAAATCCAAGTCACATTCCAGAAACACTGGGAGGCAGTGTGGAGGAAGAGTTAAAGATGACCTTGAATTATCAAACCTGTGCAACCAAGAGAAGGGTAGTGCCATTTTGAAAAAGACAGCATAACTTTTTGAGGATGAAATGATGTTTGGTTTGAGGACCGTCTAGTTCGAGGTACTAGAAAAGCATACAGAGGAGATAACTGGCAAGAAAATAAAGTGCTATTTGAGACCTCAGGGAGGGGAAGATCAGGTTCAAAAGCAAATGCACGGGGGTGTAGCGGGAGATGTGAGAGTGGGCAGGATGAAAACAGGTGAAGGACCAAGCTTTGGAAGCTACCAGTGATGAAAGAGCTAGGTCCATAAGAAGAGGAGCCAGCAAAACAATCAGGGGTAGAGCAATCAGACAAGGGGGGAGGAAAAAAGCCAAAAGACGCCCTGCTTTAAGCAGAAAGTCAAGGGTTTCTTAGGCAAATAGATAAAGGCAAAGAAACGAACATTCCAAAACAAAGAAAAGTTACTTCCATTTTGTAAAGCTATTATTGGATTCCTGGAGGCTAAAATGGTACTTGAAATTTCTTCCAAAATATAAGGCTATCAATATATAGATTTTTTAAAACCTGAAAGGGCGATATTTGCCTTTAAAAGAATGAAACATGAGAAGAGAATTAAGTCTTTTCTGCGAATTTGCTCCAGAACATGACCCCCACATTACTATAATGGTTTGTGTGGCAATGTTTGCACTGGAAGTTTCTTTTTTTTTTTTTTTTTTAGATTTATACTATAAATACACATGTTTTTGCACATTGCTCAAGCCCTAATTATCGGATGGAACTGTGGTAAATTCTACTTTAAAAAAACTCAAAATAACATTTTTTTCCTCCTTGTCGCCATGGGAAAACACATGGTGAGTTTTCCATATATATTCAATATTATCTCCCTTGTGCCTTGAGCAATGATAATTATCCTTTCAAATTTATGCGCAATGATGTGTATTATCTCACCGGCATTTCATAGTCTTAGTCTCATCAATTTCTCTTCCTGTCAAGCTGTGCTACCCTTATTGTGATTCGGTCTGACTTCATATTCTCAGTCTTTTCCATTCCCTACAGACAGACAATTTCTAGGACTATTCATACAAATAATGTACAAATATTATTGCGTAGCTATTATACTTCGGCCATGGTATTAAGTGCTAAGTGCACTAGCAGTGAAGCAGTAGACATGATTCACTGGGATACCCAGGTACCTGTTCGCCATGGCAGGGGTCCCCAACCTATGGTGAGTTATATAATTATTTCATTATATATCACAATGGAATAGTAATAGAAATAAAGTACACAATAAATGTAATGCACTTGAATCATCCTGGAACCACCCCCCTACCCCCAGCCTGGTCCGTGGAAAAATTGTCTTCCATGAAAACAGTCCCTGGTGCCAAAAAGTCTGGGGACCACTGCTCCATGGAAGCATAGAGTGCCTGGCCCTTTCTTCATTACATCTCTGAAACCTCCCTCTGATTCTACAACTCACCAACAACGTTTTCGTCCAACTACTTTGGCCAACCATTACCACCAACTAGGAACTTTAGAACATTTTTCTAACATCCCTCTCTTCCATTCTGTCCTCTTAAATGGTTCATAACCACCATCATCAATTTCAGCTGTTGATGCACCATTTTGATTTAATCACCCCACTTTTTCAAAGCCTCATAAATGTCCTGTTATCTTGGAACTATGGTAGAATGGAGAGGGACCTGGTTTCCTCTTCTGAATTTCCCAAAAACATGCTGTGGGAATGTGGATAAGTCATTCAACTTTTCTGAACCTCAAATCCTTCATCTATAAAATGGATTTGGTGGCTCCTAATATGCCTGCCCACTCTAAAAGCTAAGATCTGTGGATACAGCCCAAACTCCCCTACAACAACGTTAATTTCCTTTCTAGTCGGTATGAACCTCTTTTTTGCCCTTGGCTGGTACTCTCTCTAGCAACCAATTCTCTGCTCTGCTCACACTGCTCTGCTCACAGCCTGCAACTTCCCCTATAGCACCCGTATCTATTAGAATTCAACCCCAAAACTTTTCTGTGTTACCTTCTTTACTTAAACAGCATATAATTCAGACTAACCTTAAATCTTAACTAACTTTAAAGCTTAACACAACAGCCACATAGTATAGCGTAAAATCCAATTCTCACAAAACTCTTCATGTAATAAAAATGCAATGGCTTTCTATTTTAAAAAAATACACTATAATTCTAACAGAAAAGAATGGGCAACCTTTATATGTCATGGAGAATTAGCTAGCTTTTCATGTAAAGAAGTCATATCCTTTTTTATGTTTTATATACTCACAGTTTTTATCATATTATAATAGTTACACATTAAGAGATTTTCCAGAAAGGTTTGCTGATGTCTAATATAGGCCGTTTCTAAACTGATTTCATAATTTTGACTGGCCACCAGTCTGCTAAAATATTTACCCTGCCAGTATTTTATTCCCAGAAATTTACAGTACAACCAAACAGCTGGACTCAGTGTGAGGTATTTAATATCTATTTGCAGTTAAGTCCTGCAAACAGCAGACAAATAGCTGGTTAATGAATTTGCATAAATTTTTTTGCAATTTTTTCTTGATGAATTCATGCAAACTCCATCTGTTTCACTGAAGGCAAAAATACCAGTTCAAGTCTTCTACCTTTAACCTACTACAGATCCCTTCAGGCTGTCATTTATGTTATCTTTAAATTGTATTTTACATGGAACAGGCCTCCTCACCAAGGGTAGGTTTGGGAACAACATTTTAATGTCAAACTCAGTGCTTTATTATATATATAACCCATATTTTATAGTGAAGGCTTAGAGAATCAAATATCTAGAAGCTGGAAGAGAAAACTAAATTTTCATCCTACTCTAATGGAGGTGTTTACATTCATCATATTGACAGAGCAATCATTAGAGTAAACCCAAAGGGATAAACTGGCATCTGTCCACCTTTGAACATACTGAATTAACAAACTTATTCTGAGTTATTCAACTGAAATACTGAGCACCTTATTTCCATGCCATGTAGTGTAACACTTGGAATGCTGTAAAGGACCAATCTGCGAGTCTGTCCAACATTTAACGGTTGCTATAAGCTTTGTAGTTGAATACTGAACAGTTGCTCTAAGCTTTGTAGTTGATAATGGTATACATATCTCAGCAGAAGCACTCAATACCAACCAAAAACAGAGCTAGCTTCGTCAACACAGGGGGCAGAATCTTGCAACATAGCAGTTTTAACCAATGGTAAGTGGACATATCACAGGCATTTGAGATTTCTATTAGAAGCATTAACATCCAATCATTACTTCTTGGTAAGCTCCAAATCCTTCAAGAACACAAACCCCAAGCACATACCACGTTTTACATCACTCCACAATAAGGAGAATACAGAGTACATTTTTATAATATTTGAACAATGATCAGCCAGAGGAATCAAGCACAGAAGAATATTTTGCTTGGTTAAAAATCAAAGCGCGCGCGCACACACACACACACACACACACACACACAATCATCTCCCTGTAAAAATAAAAAGTGCTTGTATCTCATTAGGAAGATGCCAGATTAATAATGGAAATGAGTCAAACACAGTTACACAAGTTGCCTAGTTTACTGAACAGAAATAAATGAAAGTTGCATAAATAATTTTTTGCTTCATTTTTCAGGGATGAAAAAAATGTTGGAGCTGATCAATGTCCTTAGAGTTTCTATTCATCAGAAAAAGTACCTTTTGAGGTCTTAAAAAAATATTTCCTCCATTAAAGTTTCAGCTTTTTATTTTTAGGCTTCAAGGGAGATTGCTGACTATGGGTTTTGCACCTTCCTTATCAATTTAACAGTAGCAAAAGAAGGTAAAATTACTTTGTATGAAAAGTCTGACATACAACCAAAATGAAAATGTGAAGGGTGTAAGAAATTCTCAAAATATAAGACATTCTTGTAGGTAAGGAATAAAACAGTTATGCTGACCACTTGTTAATATAAACCATGAGACATAAGGGACAGTATCACAAGGAATAAGAAAAAGGACTTTGGACAGAAATAAGGGAAACACTCCATATTTGTCTATAGACACTAATATATGACATTTTAGGACATTCTGAAATAATAAAATGAGTTATACTTGCATTTGCATAACAATCATACTGCATTAAAGATAACAAGCTGCCCTCTGTACTTCCTACGATGGTATGGATTTTAAAATGAGAACATCTTAGATGTCAAGACATTCTCTTGTTGTCAGAAAGGTATTTTGGAAAGCCACATGATCACAGTGTTATTTCCCAGAAGGAACCTATTCACTCTAAAAACATGTCCAGATAGTTTACTATTTGGAAAGCCCTGTCAGGGGTGATATGGCACATGAAGATGAGTAAGACACGATCACTTCTCAGGAGGCCTGACTCCACAGGAGAAATTCTCCACTGAGAGAATCTGACTCATTACACAGGGATCCAAGTTGCAGGGACCAGCAACTTTATTCAGATCTCAGCTTTATATTTTTTTCCCCCACAAGTGTAAAGTATTTACATAATTAGTTTGGTTTCCCATAGACTCAAACTGCTTTGGATGTCTAATTTAAGTCTGACTTATACAAACCCCCATATGTAAAAACATATAGATAGATATGTGTGTGAGTATACATATATACACACATATTTTACATAGATAACCCTTTGTGCCTAATCAAAAATAACTGGCCTCAAAATGGATTATAGAAGGTCCCTAGGTAATTCTATACATTTTGATTTTTTCCATTTATCATTTTAAAGTTCCAGAAACCAACCTCAGTTATAGTAAAATTAGAAAATCATTATATAGGTATCACTTATTATTATAAATAACTATCTCTACCCCATTTAAAAATTACATAGTTTTTACATTTTTATTTTCTGAGGACTAGTGTAAGAAAAAAAGGGTTTTCAATGAAAATTTCATGTAAATTTTAAAAAAAAGTAATAGTCTTACCAAGATATAAGTGCAAAAAGGATTATTATTTGTACTTTAACTTCATTACGGGTAAAAAAACTTAAAATGATAACTATTTGTATTGTAGCTCAACAAAAACTACTGCATGAGAAAGTTTAAGTGGCTCTCCTAATGACAAGTCCTACTTTTCATAATTAAAAGATGTTTAAAAATATGTCAAAAATGTTTTTTGCCTTCTGTATGAATGTCCACCACTGAATATGAAGCTATATAATCCACCAAAATAATCTACTGTTTTGTCACTGACATCACTATGAAATATTCAAATAACTATAAATTAATGTATTTTCAAAATAAACAGGATATGTGTTTAAACTGAAATTTGAACATATGCATTCATTTTCACAAGTCAAGTTTTTCTGACTGGAATAATTTATTGAGAAACTATTTTGGTAAATTACTTAAAGGTCCGTCATTTTATGTTAAACAGGTATCAAGCCAAAAACATTAAATTACTTTTCCCATCCAGTGCTGCAACAAATCACTATTAATACTATTGCCTGAGAATATGAAAGAAAACACATATTTTCCCCTATAATTGTATTCTGAAAATCAGCAGAAAATACATATTAGAGTTTTGATAAGCCTGACTACAAGTCAACTTTCATGCTTTGTCAAACTTTCCAGTAATTCCCAAAGAACAATTTAAAATATTCTGGAAAGCAATTTTCATTTTATCTAATTTTTAAATTTTGGGGTTCCCCTTACTGTAACTTTAATGGAATGGCCAAATTTTCCCCAAAGCAGTTATGTGGTGCCACTGTAATGTATAAAATTACATTTTAGCTGATCTAGCTCCATGTCCTCCTCTTCTTTCTGAATAAATTTGCCGGTTGGAATGTATAAAAGTTCATGCCGCCATATTTATTAAAGAAGATTCTGGTGTGATGAAAAGGGCGATTTTCAAACTTAGCATCAGCATCGCCTGCAGGGCTTCTTAAAGCGCTGATTGCTGGGCCCCACGCCCCGAGTTTCTGATTCAGTGGACTGGGGTGGGGCTGATAATTTACCTTTCCAGCAGGTTCCCAAGTGATGCTTAAACTGCAGGACCCCACTTTGAGAACCACACTGCCTCTTACTGACACTTCCGCGTGCCTTGGTTATGTCCTATGTAAAATGTTGATAATAACTGCTCCACATCATCGTGTTCTTGCAAATAGCAAATAAGATTATGTTTGGAAAAGCTAGTCAAATATGAAGTCGTGGTGTGTTCACTAGAGAACAAACTTGCACCGTTTCTCTGCACTTGGCAAAGCAACCCAACCATCGGAAATCTGCCTCTTCCCCGTACGACCTTCAGGAAAGTACCAACAAAGTGCTGTGGTTCCAGGTAATGCCCATGATGCTCCTATTAAAAACAGAAAGTATCCAAAGCCACTCACTGCCTTTCTACTCCCCACTTCTAGCGCTGTAAAGGTGACTTTGAAAGTTACCCTAGACCTGAGCTTTGTAAGGGGCCCTAACATGGGACGCCACGCGGTGTGGTTCTCAAAGTGGGGTCCTGCAGTTTAAGCATCACTTGGGAACCTGCTGGAAAGGTAAATTATCAGCCCCACCCCAGTCCACTGAATCAGAAACTCGGGGCGTGGGGCCCAGCAATCAGCGCTTTAAGAAGCCCTGCAGGCGATGCTGATGCTAAGTTTGAAAATCGCGGCCGGCCCGGCCGTGGCACCCTCATGAGTCCAACTGCCAGCTACCTTCTTCCCAAACTCTGCAGCTGCACCGAAGCGACAGCTGAGGGTGAGAGGAACTCGGGAACTCTCTTCCGCGCTGGCCCACCCTCCCCGCGGGCGGGCCCACCCGCGCCAGGTGCGCGCCCCTCGGCCTCCCCGGCGGGTCGGGCCTCGCGGCCGGTTACCTGCACCAGCGTCATCTGCGAGCCGAGGGCCAGGAGGATCTTCTCGGTCTTGGTGGGGTACGGGTTGTCGCGGTGCTTGTAAAGCCACTGCTTGAGGGGCCGCGCCATGTCCTGCAGGGCCTGCCGCTTGTGCCGCACCTTCCCGCCGTTCTGCCGGGCCCTGGGACGCGGGAGAGAGGGGCCCTGAGCCGCGCCGTCGGGGGCCTGCACCTGGGCCGAGCCGCCGCACCAGCCCCGCGTGCACCCTCGCTCCGGGAGCCCCGAGGTGGGGCGACACAGCGGTGGAAGCCCGGTTTCTGGGTGGGGACAGCGCTTTCGGCGCCTCCTTGCAAAGGCCTGCTTGTCGTGGGGCGCCACGTGGCAGTGCAGGACGCTGGCTCATCCTGAAAGGGGGACACCTGAACCCCGTAACCCCAGGAGAGAGGTCTAGGAGAGGACGGCTATTTGAGGGGAACTGCTAAGCGGCTGCAGATGCGGGCAGCGCGAACTGGTTACCCTCCCCCTGCCCGCTGACACCGTCCCTCCCGGGAGTGGCGGGACCCCAGGCGGGTCTGCCGCCGGCCCTCGGGCTTCCTCGCGGGGAGCTCCTGCCCGTCACCTGGTTCCCGTGGCCTGTGTCAAAGGGCAGGCTGCCCCTGGACAGCGGGAGCAAAGCAAAGCGGCAGCCGTGTCCGCGGCTCTTCTAGAAAAGGGGGGAGACTGCCACAGGGTTGCGGACGAAAGATGCCAACCCCGAGAGCGCTGCGGGCGCAGTTTCCGACTGGGGGTTAGGGCGCCGCGCCCCGTCAGGTGCACCGAGACGCCCTCCGGGAAGCGGGAAGCTCGCTCGCAGGGCGGGCGGCGCGCGGTGCGCTCCCCCGCGGCTCCGGGAGGTGTCGCCGCGCTGCCGCCCGCGCCGCTCGGGAGGCCGACGCGCCTGCGCCGGAGCCTGCGGGGCTTCCGCCTCTGACCGCTGCGAGGTGCGGTCCCGCCCGGGCCGGCCGAGCGCCGCGGGGACGAAGCCTCGGCTCGGCTTGCCGAGCGCACGCCGCGGAGCGAGCGGCTGACGCAGCCGTCCCGGTGGGGCGCTCCGGCAGCCGCCGGGACAGGCCGGGCAGACGCTGCCCCCGCGAGTTCCCGCCCGGCCCCTCCATAAACCGACAGCGGCCGGCCCCGCAGAGCCGCGCGCCGGGGACACCCGCGGGGAGCCGACCTCCCCGACACCTTGGGCCGGGCCTGGCGAGCAGCCGGTGGCGGCGAGGGCTCTAGTGACAAAAGGGGAAGGTCGCGGGGCCCGACCCGGGAAGCCCCGACTGCTTGGCCTTGCCCGGTCTCTCCGCACCCGGGTCAGTCCTTCGGCCTCGCCCTCGCCCGCGACCCGCAGGGCTCCAGGTAGCGGGGACCGAGGGGCAGTACCCGTGCCCTCGGCTTGCAACCAGCCTTTCTGGAGCTGTCCTGACGAACTGACCCCTCGTGTTTTGATAAACGGATCCTTAAACCGAGAACGCGCGAGCCCTGGAGGCGCAGACCCGCGCTGGGCAGTCCGTGCCCCTGACCCCGGCGGCCGGTGCACTTGACCCCACGCCGCTCGCCGCCCCCACCGCTCCGGCCGGCCCGAGCGTGCGCATACCCGGTCCTCCGGTGTCTCAGGCCGAGGTTGTCCTTGAGGGGCGGCCCGTCGGGAATGCCCACTTCGGGGCGGGCGTGGGGACCGTCCAGGACGCCGCCGTAGGGCCGGCCGCCCCGCTCCCGCTCCGGAGCGCCTCGGTCCTCAAAGAGCACGGCGCCGCCGAGCTTGTTGAAGACGATGGTGTTCATGCTGCCGGCTGGCGGCGGCGCGCGCGCCTGGGGCCCGGGCCGCCCGGAGCTCCGCGGCAGGGCTCGGGTTCTAGGGAGGAAAGCGCAGCACGTTACTCACTCGCCCGCACAGCTCGGACCTGCGTCCCCGCTCCGGGCCCGCGCCCGCTGCCAAGCAGGGGAGAGAAGTTTCGCCGCTTCGGGACCAGGGCCCTGCCTCTCCCCACCTGGCTACACGCGCCTCCGGGCACACTCCCGGGACAGGCACCTGCCCTCGTTCTGGTCCCCGCGATGCAGCCCGGTCCTCCAGCCCCGCCCCAAGGTCTTCAACTGGTAATGATTCACCCCGAAAGCGAAGGAAAGAAATTCCCAAATGACCCCACGAGTCTGGCTTTGAACCTGGGCGCGGACTGGGGTAGCGGAGCGGGCAGGCGTGGTCCTTCAGTCACATCAGAGGATTAAAGGTTCTCGGAGCCCTCACTCGGGGCGCCGGGAGGGCACGGGCGGAAGGGAAGATTTGGGGTTGTGAACTACCGCACCCGGAGGCCCAGTAATGAGTCCTGGGCCATACCGGGATTTGGGGAATTTTCATGTTTCCTAGATCCTGGATGGTTTGGCCGAAACCCCTGCATCTTCTTTCGGCTAAGATGCCCCGGGATTGGAGTGGGGCTGAGAACAAGGAAAGTTAAGTGGCATCAGGACAAATACCCCACATTTCCCTCTTCTCTCCCCAAGTTTTCCCATTATCCGCCCGCCCTGGGACGCGCAGGATCCGGCGGGTCCAAGGCGCTGGGACCCAGGCCGCCGGAGCCTGCGGCCGAGCTTGTGCTCTTCTGCAGCGCGGGGGCCAGACACGAGCTCGAATCCCTGCACACCGGCCCCTCTCTGGGGGCTCCAGCGACATTTCGGGGTCTGTAGAGATGTCGGAAGCGGAAGGTCCGGCAGGGGCAGCGCGGTCCGCCCACCTCCCGGCCAGCGGCTGCCACCGTCCCAGAGACCCTGCAGCTCACCTCCAGGGGCGCGGCGGCCAGAGGCCTGTGCCCACCACGCGCGGGCGTGGGGAGCAAGTCCGCGCCGCCCCCGAGCCGCCCAGTTACCGCCCCGGGGCGCGCGGCCACCTCCCCCGCCCCGTCTCCCGTTTCCTCCGAGCGGCCTCGGTCGCCGCCAGCGCGTCCCCGCCCGGCCCGCACAGCGCGGGCCGCCCCCCACCGCACACACGCGCGCCTCGACAAGCGCCCCACTCGCCCCGCCCTCCGGCCACCGCCGCAGCGGCCACGCGCGACATTAGGACTGTGGCCGATGCTAATAAACCACGCTACCGTCAGAGATTCGTGGGGTAGGGAAGTCGGACCTCTGTTGGCCGCCGAGTGTCCCCTAGGACTGCGTGCCGCGCGCGGACAGGTACGTGCGGGGTGTGCGCACAGCCCGGCGGGAAGTGGCCGAGCAGTTTCCGTGCTCTCGGCCCTGTTCTGCAGCCAGGCCGCCGCGTTTGCTTCTTAAGTCAGCGCGCTTGGAGATGTGCATTCGCGCCGCGTTGGTTGCGCCAGACGCCCTTCCCAGCCCGTTTCTGCCCCGACCCGGCGCAGTTCTACGTGCGACAACGCGTTTCCCAGCGAAAGCCACGCCGAGGTTTGCCGGCTCGGACCCTCCCCCGGCTGTGCCGAACCCACCGAGCTCGCACTGCCGACACTAGGCACAGTCTGGGGCAGCAGGCGCAGTGGCAGACGGTGGCAAAGGTCCGAGAGCGCGAGCCTGTCGCAAGAGGTCTGGGGACATGTGAACCGCAGCTCTTACCGCTCCCCGGGCGCCCGCGCGTGGTCCCCCGCCCCTCTTCCCAAGCCACTTACCCGGTTCACTCCAGACTGGCCGGGGAGCCCACTCGCTGCGGAACTGAGCCGCCCAGCGCCCGCGAGTAATTTTAACGCGAAGGAGGCGCGGCCAGGTGGGCTCCCAGGCTCCTCGCGGACCCTGGGGCCAGCCTTGGCCGCCACCCGCGCGTCCTTACCGGACCTCGGCGGGGTGGGGGAAGGGCGGGGGAGCCGAGCCGCCCGGGGCAGAAGGAAGGTGCGGCGCGGGGGCCAGACCGAGCCTCCCTGGCCGCGGGGTCCGCGCGACGCGCGGCTGTACCTGCGGCGGCGGGGCGGGCGGCGGCTGGCTGTCCCGCGTCGAGGCTAGGCGCACTCCCATCCCCGCCGCATGCTCTCCGCGCGGGCTCCGGCGCGCTCCCCGCCCGCCGCCGCCGTCCCGGCTTTATTTACCCAGCCCGGCGCGCGCGGCCCGGGAACAGGAATGCCGCGGCCTTCTCATGTTTCCTGGCTGCCGGGCCCAGCCGGCGAACATCCTGCGGGCGTCGCATCCACGTTCCCGGGCCGCCGCAGAGGAAGCGTCCGCGCCCACCGGGCCGCGGGGGCTGCCATTAACCCTCGCCGGGCAGCCCCGGCCCGCTCGCCCTCCCAGCCCGGCGCGGCGCCCGGAGCCGCTGGCCTCGCCGGCGCGGAGCCGCAGGGGCCGTTTCCTCGCCCTTAGGGGAGAAGTCGGAGAGGCCGCGGGGAGCGCTCGGCTCGGCTCCGGGAGCTCAGAGGCTGCGGCGCTAGCCCCGCGTCCCAGCTGGCCCGAGTGCGGGGAGTTTCAGCACGCGGGGCGAGGCGGGAGAGGCCGCTGTGGCGCGCCCTACGCTTTCCTGGCGATTAGCTGGAGTGAAGTTAGTGAGAGCTCGGGTTTGCGCCGACAACGCCGGAGCGTTTTGCGGGAGGTGCGTGCGCCTGGGAGCCTCGTTTTAGGTGTCACTGGGCTTCTGAGGTCCTGCGGGTCGCAGTCAAGGCCAGGCACACACTCTCCTCCCGGGCAGGCGCTGGCGAGGCAGCTTTCCTGCCGGGCATAGGGATGGGTGAAGGCAAGAATGGAGCGAGGTGAGCCCAGGTGCCCAGCCCACCGTAACCCAGGTGTGGCAGCGACGGCGCGCCCAGAGCCAGGGATCTGCACGCAGCGAAGGGGACGGAACTTGGAAGAATCCCGAGCTGGGCCCCGTGCGAGGAGATAGCCAGATTCTTATCGATGATGCTTTGCTCCCCCTAAATATTAGAGAAGCGAAAGCCGAGGTTTGGTGCAACGGAAGCGCAGAGCTTCTCCCTAAAGCGCCGGGCACCAAGCCGGGCCCTGCCGCCCCAGCGACCTTTCATCTTTTTTAAAGAGTGATTTTAGGGTTCCCCAAGCCCCAAGCTATAGCATCATTTGTCCTTTTTCTCTCTAAAGGTGGCTGGCCAGTGCCGGGGCAGCGGCCCACCTAAGCATCTTCCTTTTATGTGGCCTAGAAATGGTTAATATATATATACATGCTAGAGCTATTATTTCCAAGACTAATCACACCCTCGAGTTTTCAGATATGTTATCTCCCAAAATACGCGTAGCAAACCAGGTGATGGCACAACCTAAAGCCGAGAGGAATGCAGGTTTACATCTGCACACCAGGCAGGTACGCACTATCCTTTGATCGCCTTTCCCCATGGCCTCGGCTGTCTCTGATTATGTAACTTGCCTTTGCCGGGCTCACATCGTGTCCTTGGCGCTGCGCGTGGCTGCGGGCTCACTGCAGGCTTCCGTGTGCGGATCCACCACGCGGCTCCAGCCACCGATTTTCAGCGAGTGCGTTTCACAGCAGAAGCAGATCTAATTGGTATTTCATTGGAGGAAAGAGTCGCGTTCTCTTATCTGGTCTCTATGAGTGATGTTGGTCACCAGACATTATAATGCAGTCAGCTGTAACACACGCCTCTGACATTTTTTGGTCAGCTGTCCCAGGTAAAGCAACAGGCATGTATGTAGTTGCTCGCAGTTTCACAATATTCTGCTGATTTATTGAGCTGCATGCTGTAGTATATGCTAGTACAGGACAAATAAATTTTGTTGTTTTCATACTTAACTGTATGAAAAATTTACACAATTTTAAAATGCATTTAGAGGACTTTGATTTAAGATACATTTACATGTAAAATTTGTTTTACTAAAGTCTGAAATATGATATATAGCAAAAATAATTTCATTTGATACAGTAATTACACCTGAGTTAGTAAATCTCAGGTTAAATCCCTGAAAAATTAATATATAATAATTACTTTAGCCTATGGTTTAATAATTAGAGTCCATTTTAAAATGAAAGAACAATGGAAGATTTATTCTAGAAATGAAATGGTGGGGAGTATCCTTCTGTAGTATTCAAATGAACATTTATTTTGTCATAGACTAAACTTTCATTCCTAAAAATTTTATCCTATATTTAAGAGGGAAGTTTCTTCTTCAGTTTAATCCATAGTTCTAATACATGATCATTATATTTTAATGATCTAAAATGATTTTACTCAGCTTCTTATGCTATATTCCAATCTCAGTATATTAAATGCTGCATTATAATCATCAGAAAAAAACTTCCCGTTTCGTAAAGCACTGTTAGAAGATTTAAGAAAGTGTATGCAGTTTTTGGAAGAGGGCCCTGTGTAGGAAAAACAATAACCTAGACAAGAAGTCAGAAGACTTGAACCTTAATTCTGGTCAATGTGATGCTAATTTAGCCTGAATTTATTAAACCATACAATGAAGATAAGAAGTTTTCCACAACTTGTCTCACACTATTATTAACGTTATTTTTCAGATGTGGAAGTAACATATTGCTATTGCTAAATCTAAAAAGATATTAAGTAAGAACATTTGGCAGAAATATTAATCCATTATATAGGACTTAGAGTATAGTTATAAACATATGCAATTTTTACTTACTGGAAAAGGAAAAAAAGAAGTCTTCAGTTTTAGCATTTTGATATTTTACCAAGGTACCCTGACATTTCAGAATAAATGTTGGGCAAAGTGTTTGAAAATAATGAGTGCTTTTAAAGTCCCGTTTCCAGTTATTACTTATGGGCAATGAAATAAATTGCAAAGCCAGAGGATGACTGCCACTTGCAGCTCAAATGGTGTAAAATAGTAAGTTTATGAACAAACAGCAGGTCCACCTCACCCTTGGCCAGTCTGACTGGTGGAGACACACACTGGAACAACATGACAAGTGGTGAAAGAGACAGCTGTGAAACATTGTGAGCAAAGTAGTAGAATGGGTGGCCCCAAAGTGTCACAAGGTGTTTTTGCTTTGTGTGGAATTTAATTTTGATTGCACAAACGATACAGAATAAAAAAACACCTTCTCTTAAGGAGGGCCTTTTCTATAAATTCACTGTTAAACAAGGAACAGAATACAAGTGAATGTCCCTCTCTGCCACCTCCAATCCACCCCATCACATTCCCTGGAGGAACCACTACGAGGTGGCCATTGCAGGTTTAATGTGCTCGCTTTCAGCCTTTTTCTGTTCATTCACATACATAAATACAAACAAAAGTATAGTTTTGCCTTATGAGGTTTTAAAATAAATGAGGCCATACTGTGTACAATTGTGCACACATATACACAGAGAATTAAACTAATACTTCCTTTCACACTCTATTTCATAGAACAGTTTTGTATTAGTAAGTATAAATGTAACTCCTTCTTTTAATAAACTGTTACATAATGCTCCATAATCTACTTAACCATTCTCCTATAAACATTTTTGTCTTTCCAGTTGTCACTATCATAAATATTAAACATCCTGTATATGATTCTTGCTGTATAGGCATAGGTATTTCTTTGGGAGTAGCTACCCAGAAGTAGAATTTCTGGGCTCAAGGAAACATGGTTTTTAAATTTTGATAGATACATCCAAGTTTTCCTCCAGTCGGCACCGCCACTGACACAAGCACATCCCTATATCCTCACATGCTACCCAGCGTTGCAAATGTTCAGTCTTCGTTTGCCTACATGGTGAGTAAAACAATGCCTCATTGTTTGAGAACCTTTTCCTTTATAAGCCATTTGTATTTCTTAATTGAGTATCTTTTGCTTATATCCTTATTAGATAACTTGTTGATTTATGATTATTCATAAACCATTTTTCCATGATATATGTTTTATATGTTCAAAATATGTTACCTGGCCTGTGGCCTGTCTTTAACCTATTTTGTCTGTTTTTCAGAAGGTATAATGTGAATATCTGTCAACATGTCAGACTTTTCCTTTTTTGATTGGGTTTTGTGTCTTGCTTAAGAAGGCTTTTTCTATATTTTCATCTAATACTTTTAAAATTTGTTTTCACTTGGCTTTTTAATCCTTCTGGAGTTCATTTATGTACCTTGTGAGGTAGAAATCTAATTTGATTTTTTTTCTTTTCCAATTGAATAGCCGATTACTCCTACAGGATTTATTAAAGAGTTTTTCCACATTGATTTGAAATAACTTTTGTCACTTTCCATATATAGGTTGGTGAATTACTTTCCATATATAGGTTGGTCTAACAAGGCTTTGGGAGATGTTGCAAAAA